CAATAGAATTGGGTGTGTAGGGTGTAGAAGGTATCCATAATAAGAGACTGTTTCATCCGCATAACACGCCACATAGATAAAAACCTGACATGGCGACCTAAGAACACCGTCATGGTGAAGCATTGGGAGCAGCCTTATAGCAGAACAACTGGATAAATTGTTATACGATTTTTGGTTGAGTTAGAGTCATTTGCACAGATTTCTGTGGAACTCGTCTAATCCAAACAAAATGCAGATTCACGTTGCAAACATTTTTCTTTTTCTTTTTTGAGAACCAAACAAAATTTACTCACTACACAAACACTTCTGGTTAAGCTCCACCAGTGTTAAATCAACTACTGGTGGAAATACAGGTGTAGCCAGGCAGGGTGAATGGCAGTTTGTTTTTCCTCTTGTGCGTACACACTTAAATCCTCGGTAGTATTTGGTTGTGACTGTAAATTAGTTGTTGTTTTTTGTGAGGAAGGGCTGCCTGTATACTTGGTGTCATTAGCTTTTGGGTAGCTGTAGTAAATAGTGTTAGAAATTTAGTTGAGAAGGTGACACGATAGATGAGCATACGGCGACATATGTGAGACGCAGTTACTCTGAAATGTTACTGTCAAGGACGGTTGTGTTTATTATTATCTTTCTTTGCATGACGTGCAGGTGAACGGACGTTAACTGAAACGCGCCCAGTCCAGACGTTTCAGCGCTCGCACCAATTAACATTACGGAGCAGTGATTGATTGATTCAAGATTTAGCAGCCATTGAATTCTCAGTAATAAGATGTCAAAAAATCTCAGTAAGAAAATATAATATTATAGTATTACTGTAGAATAATAAATATTACTAATACTGGTGGAGTAATACTATTCCTTTGTTCACAACGGCGTCCACATATATAGCTGTCATCCATCCCCCGGCCCTGATCCTCCTCGCCGCGCTCGCTTGCGTCCCCGTCTCGCAAAAATTCAACATTTCTCTCCGCTCTTTAATTTCTCGTGGCTAGCTGCTTCCTTCCTGCGACCGAGTGCCAGTCGTCGGAGAAGAAGAGAAGGGGTCGATGGCGAGCAAGTCCGGCAGCGGTGTGGCGGACGATGGCAGCTACGAGTACGAGGAGGAGTCGGTGCAGACCGCCCGCGGGATGAAGCTCTTCACCTGCAGATGGCTCCCCCCCAAGGGCCAGATAGTCAAGGCCCTCGTCTTCCTCTGCCATGGTACGTACGCGCTTCCTTCCTTCCTCCTCGCCGCTCTAATGGCGAATGATCCAACTAACTAACTAACCACCCAACATCCATGCGTGCGTGCAGGGTACGCGGTGGAGTGCAGCGTGACGATGCGGGGGACGGGGGTGCGGCTGGCGCAGGCCGGGTACGCCGTGTACGGGGTGGACTACGAGGGCCACGGCAAGTCGGAGGGGCTCCAGGGCTACATTCCCTCCTTTGACCTCCTCGTCAGCGACACGGACGCCTTCTTCACCGCCGTCGTCGCCTCCACGGCCAACACGGACCTCCCCCGCTTCATCCTCGGCGAGTCCATGGGCGGCGCCGTGGCGCTGCTCCTCCACCGGATGCGCCCGGCGTACTGGACCGGCGCCGTCCTGGTCGCCCCCATGTGCAAGGTACGCGTGCATGCTTACCCACTACTCCGGCCGGCCTCCCTCCGAATCATCTTCCAGAATCCACACTACCGCAACTTTAGACTAGCTACTAGTACGCGGCAACGATCGAGACGGAAACGAGATGCATGCACGCACGCACGCACGATCAATCCGGCCGCGTATGCAAGCTAGTTGCCGTCATCATTTGACTTTTGACCGGGTGGATCGAGATGGCGCCCCGCGTGCGGCCGGGCCGTTAGTGATTTCGCATTTAGTTTAATCCATTCCAATCCATGCCGGAGCAGTTGACCCGGCCGGCCATTCAGGCTTCTCGACCGATAACGACACATATTCTAGTAGTAGTATCATTCTTTGTTGATCGATGAATATTTGCTTTCATTAATTTGGACCAATTCAAAGTAGTACGTAGTACATAAAACTAAGGGCGGAGTATTTTTTTGGTCATTATATTTCAGATCGCTGACGAGATGCGGCCGCATCCGGTGGTGGTGAGCGTCCTCAAGCTGATGACCAACATCATCCCCACGTGGAAGATCGTGCCGACCACGGACGTCATCGACGCCGCCTACAGGATGCAGGAGAAGCGCGACGAGATCAGGAACAACCCCCACTGCTACCAGGGCAAGCCGCGCCTCAAGACCGCCTACGAGCTCCTCAAAGTCAGCCTCAACCTCGAGAACAACATACTCTCAAAGGTGCTACTAATTATCTCTTCTTCTTTTTTGCAAACATGTTCTAACTTCTTTATACATCGATTGTATATAGACATGTTGTAGTGTTCACTCATTTCAATCTTTATCTAGTCCATATTCGAATATTCCAAAACATTATATATTTGTGAATGGAGGGAGCACTTAATTACTAAAGCAAAAAAGGATTCCCATTGTCTCCGCATATAATATTCCATGGAGTATATATCAACTAGCTAGCACGCTTGCAGAGGGAGAGAGATATGTTTGATAAATGAATATTGAGTAGAATATATATTTCTTAATGGTAATGTGCCCGTGTCTACACGTCTCGATCGATCTCTTTTTCTCCAATTAAACTCAGGAGGCTGATTTGCTCGTGTGACGTCCCTGTTCGGTTAGTTGGGTCTGGCTTCTAAAGCATACTCTCTCTACGTCTCACGCCTCTTCTCTGTTTAGATCACACTCAAGGTATTTATCTCGTGAGTGGCCCGTTCAATGAATTCCAGTTAGCAGCCTGATGAGTATATATCAAATAACAACGACTTTTCCCTCATCTTCCGAGATAGATATATACTCATAAGCTCCTAACTATAATTAGCTCTGTAAGCAACAAGAGTGATGCTGATGGATGGATCGTGCATATGTATGCAGGTGTCGTTGCCGTTCCTTATCGTTCACGGAGGCGACGACAAGGTGACGGACCCGTCGGTGAGCGATCTCCTCTACCGGTCGGCGGTGAGCCAGGACAAGAAGCTCAACCTTTACCCGGGCATGTGGCACGCCCTCACCTCCGGCGAGAGCCCTGAAAACATCCACACCGTCTTCCAAGATATCATCGCATGGCTCGACCAAAGATCATCCCCGAAATCATCATCGTCGGCGGCCGCCTTGGACTTGTCATCGGAGATGGAACAGAAGGCCAAGCACGACGAGCAGAATTTCGACAAGCAATAGCACGAAAGCTAATGACAATGAGCAGCTGTAGGCATGGTTAAGTACAGCTGGGACTTGGAATCATATCAGATAACTGGCTGGCTACAAGTGTGGTGTATTAATTCATTATTGTACTAACTTGCTAGCTAGTTCGTCAATTTCTGTCTTGTTGTAAACCAGCATACCATGCAACCTGGATCTTTCAAAGATATATCATATAGCAGTGCTATTTCAGTTTTACATAATATCTTCATCATCATATTTAAATCTGACTTGCATAACGCCCCCGCGTTGCTATCGATTCACAAAAATGATTCAGTTGTATTGGATTAGCAATGTATAACTACCAATGCACGTGCAACACTGTGGGGAAGAAGCTCAATCAAGCAACCAACACCACACTTGTGTAATTGCGTCAGCGATGGAAGCACCAATGAAAGATATGATTTTTCTCTATCTTCAAACTAAAGGAGTCTAGCAGTTTCAAGATAGATGAGGGGGACAGGGATGGAGTGGGGTAGTAAACTCACCAATCACCACCAACTCCAATTTATAAGATACCATAGTAGAGATAATCAAAGGCAAAGGTACTTGATGGCGTTGAGGAGCAGTCATGGATCTGAGCACTTTTTTTTTATTTCTGCGCAGTTTTCTCTCTTTCTTTTTTGTGAGTTGTCTCTACTATTTTTCATCGGTTTTTTTCCTTCAGTGTTGTCTTTCTTTTTCTGCTTGTTATTTTGTATATTTACTTTTTGTATATGTAGTTTTCTTTTTCATTTTCCATATACATGCCAATTTTTTTTAAAATACATGTTGAACATTTTACATATATCTGTTGAATATTTTTTAGAAACATGTTCAAGATTTTAGAAATACATGTTGAACATTTGCAACAATGAATATATTTACACACACGTCTGAATTTTTTCCAAAAATGTCATGACATTTTTAAAATACATGCAACCATTTTTTTATGTGTTGCAACATTTACTTAAAATGGCACAATTTTTTTATAAGTTATGAACTTTTTCCTACATTTGCACGACCTAATTTTTAAATTTCATTAACATTTCTGTAAAAGGTAATAAAAAATTTGATTACAAAAATATTTTATAAATGGCCTAAACATTTTTTGAATGTATGATCATTTTTTCTACAAATTACACAAACACTTCTTAATTTTCATGAAAATTTTAAATAGATGTATGAACTAATGACCATTTTTTATAAGTCACAGACCTTTTTTTATAATTGTACGAACAGTTTTAAAAGTTGGGTTAACAATTTTTTACATTTCATGAACATTTTTTAGTGTGAGTTGAAATTTTACAAAAATTAAGTAGATTTTTCTAATGCATGTTAGCAAATAAATCAACACAAATTTACAACTCTTGTCACAAACTATATCTGTAGCACGGCATAAACAGTTTGAAACTATATATTTGTGCACTTTTGGTTTTCACCAATTGGCCCAGACACATCAATGGTCTTGTTCCATGTCGCCCTTGCATAGGGACCTCCTATATGCTGGGCGCTGCTAGGTATCGCTCGTAGCGACCGCTACAGCTCGCGTTGCTCGCGCCAGCTGGGACTGACTGGCGAAGTGAGCTTGAACAGAGTTAGTAGAGAGAGCCCATGTCTGTTTTATTTCTCATTTCGTATTTTTATTTTTTGTCGGTTTAATTTTTACTTAATTTTTTTAGAAATTTTGTCAATTAAACAAAATTCATGCTAATTCAAAAAATATGTAAATTTTAAAATGTTCACAAATTCAAGAAAATTTTCATGAATTCGGCAAAATGTTTCTGAACTCAATTTCTTTTGCATATTCAGAAGATATCATATACTCAGTGGAAGTTTGCGAATTTCAAAATGTTTTCGTCAATTCAAATATTATTGGCAATTTCAAGAAAATAATTATGAATTTAGAAAAAAAATCTAGATTTTAAAAATCGGTGAATTTAAAAATGTTTGTGAATAAAAAATCTTTGTGAATTAAGAAAAAATTATGAATTAAACACAATATTAATTCAACAAGTTCTCCTATTTTAAAAATGTCATGAATTAAAAAATTGTTTCTGAGTTCCAACTTTATTTATGATTTCTTCCAAGAAAATGAAAAACACGGATTTTTTATTATTTTATTAACATTATTAAACTTGTGAACAATTTATGAATTTCCAAACAATTTATTAGAAAACACGAACATTTTCGAAATTGTGAACAATTTTTAAAATTTCAAACAGTTTTTTATAAACGCGAGCAATGTTCGAAATCATTAATATTTACTAATGAACAGAATATTTAAAAAATGTAAATATTTTTTATATTTATGAATATAACTAAAGAAAGGGAAAAAGAAGCAGAAAAACTAAAAAGAAAAGAAAAGATGAAAAAATATAAAAAGGGGGTAGCCCATGAAAAGAAGTTTCCTTTTTCTAAATAAAATGAAAAGAAATTTCCTAAAACCTGTCGTCACTTCACCCAAGGGTTCGACGCTTGCTTAGCTACGGTTATCAATGGGCCAGCCCCTCTTCCAAACCATGTGGGAGCGAGATTCAAAGCCCAACCCTTACAACGAGCGATACAGCTGAACTCTTATGCGAAACAACTGAACTAGCACGAGCTAGTGGATCTTCTCAATGGTAGACACATTATCGCATGTTTCATTTGTAAGATTGGATGTCGCACACAGGGCCATCTGGTGGGCCCGTCTAATGGCAATTCATGATAAGATTTTTCAAAGCCCGTCAGCCACACATGTATTTATAAGCAGATTCTTTGATGAACTAAATATGGAGCAGGTGAAGAGTTCTTTTACTACTGTAGTTTTGGACAAAACAATGGTGAGACTGGAGCCACCCCCACCAGGTGTTATGAAAATACATGTGGATACGGCCACGGCAAGAAATCATGTGAGGGGTGCGTCGGCGGCTGTATGTCGAGATGAAGAAGGAAAATATATGGAAGCTCCGCTTTGGTAATTTATGGCATACATGATGCAGCTACACTGGAAGCTATTGCGTGTCGACATGCTTTATCTCTAGTAGAAGAACTCCAAAAAAATTGTAGCCTCAGATTCGAAACAGATTCTCAAGAACATAGAGTTAGGAAGTCAAGGATCATATGGGAACATTATTAGGGAGATTAATAGTAGGTCTCAACTGTTTAATTGTAATTTTTTTCTTTTGAAGGCCGATCTGCTAATAACGATGCCGATGGGTTAGCAAAGTTTTCGCATTCTTTCGATCAAGGGTGACACGTCTAGTTTGTCCAACCACAAGAACCCTTTTCTATTCCACCTCATGTGGAATTTAAGCAATAAAACTTGGTGATACCCCTTGAAAAAGTACAACGAGTAATACATAGCATTTTCTTTATATGCCGCCCATTGTGTCCAACCACAGAGGGACGCATAGGGCAACCGAACTAGGCCACCCATTACCGATTGGAGCGACGGGTTGCAGCAAGGTACTGTAGTGATGTTGCATTTCTAAATTATTTGCATTTTATCCCTCAAAAAGAATTATTTGCATTTTACGAAAAACACGTGCAGTTTTTCTGAAAATATGAACAAAATTCAAATTACATACAATTTTTAAAAAACATGAAAAAAGTCTGAGTTTTTAAAAACCCTAACAAAAATTGAAAAACTGAGCACATTTTCTAATTGCCCAACTTTTTATATTACTTTAGTTCTTTTAAAATTATCACTAGTAAATACTAGACATTTTTGGAATAAGTGAACAATTTTCGAAACATTTAACATTTCTTAGAAAAATTATCTATTTTTAGAAAACTTGAACAAAAAATTGATATTCAGAATATTTTTCTAAAGCTAACATTTTTTTAATTGGAACAAATTCCGAACCTTTTTTAGAAACATGGTCAATTTTTTAAAAATGTGATCAAAAAATTGAAACTCAGGCAAAATTCTGAAGTGAGGATTTTTTGAAATTTTGATCAAATTTTGAAGATCTTGTTTTTTCCAAAAAATATTAATATCTGAAAATATTTAATAAAAGTAAAAATAAAAAGGAGAAATAAAACAGCAGGAAGCAAAAATCGAGTATAAAACACCAACATTAAAAAAATGTTGAAAAACCTTTAAGAAGGTTCCAATCACCGGTAGAAAATCGTAAAAAAGTTTGTTCTAAACTACCTAATGGTCTAGCCATTCCATCTCTCTCTCGTCCTTTTGGGAAGGGACGACAGTTTGACGCATCGAGCGTCGAATAGTAAATTCCCATTGCATCTCGTCAATGTTATGTCTCACTACCAAATTGAAGGGGGAGCGTGGCCTCAAGGCTTCCACTTAGTGGGCTGGCCCAATGTAACGTGGTTTTGGGAAGCTCTTATGAGCCGTTATAGACCAGTTTTAGAACCTTTTGCATGTTTGTTTTTCATTTTTCATCGGTTTTTCATTTTTCATCATTATTCCCTATTTGTTATTTTGTGCATTTTTATTTTTATTTTTTGTTCTTGTTGTTTTCGTTATTTTTATCTTACTTTTCATATACATAAAAAATACATGTTGAACATTTTACACGTACACGGTACACGTTAAACATTTTACAAATACAAGTTGAATATTTATTCTGATACTTGTCGAAAATTTGCAAATGCACATTGAACATATTTTTTAATATACAATGGACATTTTTAAACAGGTGCCCAGGATAGTTTTTCTAAAGACATGGAAACATTTTTTTATGGGTTGCAATTTTTTAAATTGACAATTATAATTTCGGAACGACCTGTTTGTTGGGACAGATCCGAATGATAAGTTACCAACTCAGCTAGGTATTCTTTCCGCTGTGCTTTTCTCGTCTCTTTTGTCCTGATTTTTTCACCCCCTCCCTTGTCTATTTCCATCCCATTTTTCTCTTTGTATATTGTCCCGATTTTTCTACCCCCGGTCTACATCTGTCTCGATTTTTTTCTTTGTATACAATTCAACAAAAATTACTCGCTGAGAGGAGAAAAAAATAGGTGTACATTGGAACCGAACACAACATCTC